CAACTACAAACTGATCAAATGACATTAAATTATCTTTCACCATTAACTAGAAATACATCAAGTATACAACAACGTTCATCATCAATAATTAATTCAACTACAACGAATCCTAATCAAAAAGTACCAACATCAAATCCATTATTTTTTGATCGAATTCTTATAATGCAAGCTGAAAAAGCACATAATTTTAAAACATATTCATTTAAAGGACCACATTGGTGTGATTATTGTGCAAATTTTCTTTGGGGTCTTGTTCAACAAGGTGTTAAATGTGCTGATTGTGGTTTTGAAGCACATAAACGTTGTTCAGAAAAAGTACCACAAGATTGTGTAAGTAAAATCATATATACATCAGAATATTACGATTTTTTATTTAGGTTCCACAAATGAAATATCTTAAATCAATTTTTGGTGTTGATTTAACAACTTTAATTAAAGCAACAACACCAGCATTATCAGCTGCTTCATTAACACCAATTGTACTTGAAAAATGTATAAATGAAATAGAATCACGTCCACATGCACTTGATACTGAAGGTTTATATCGAATTGCTGGATTTTCTGATACAGTTGAAGAAATCAAATTAGCATTTGAACGTGATTGTGATCATGTTGATTTATCTCAAGAACGATATCCTGATATTCATGCAATAGCTTGTCTTCTAAAGTTATATTTACGACAATTACCAATTCCACTTGTTACTTTTGATATTCATACACAATTACTTGAATTACGTCAATCATCTTTATGTGTTACAACAATTCGTCCTATAATTCGTCGTTTACCACCAGCTCATTTTCATACATTAAGATATTTATCTGAACATCTTAAAAATGTCTCTAATCATTCGACTCGTAATCAAATGACAATTGAAAATTTATCTATAGTCTTTGCACCAACAATTATGCGTTCAGAAAATCCCGATCCAATGATTGGATTAAAAAATTCGAAATCTATTCAACGTTTACTTGAAATTATTATTGAACAAGCACATGATATATTTGCTCCTTAAAAACAATATCGAAAGTCTTTTTTCTTGTGTGCTTTTCGTTACATAAATAAATCAATGATATGTAAATATGTTATACTAAAATATTTAATAAAATAAATACAATAAAATAAACTACGACATAGGTCAATTGTGAGTACATATTTTTCTATTTTACCATCAAAAGAAAAAAACAAGTGAGACGTGTTGTCTCGTTAATTACCGAAACTATTTTTTTTTAAATATTATCACTATATACTTTTGTCCAATCGTTATGCTTCACAAACGTATCATGTTGATTTATCACCATCGGATACTCAAAAAAAAAAATAAATGTCAGCTTCGGTTGATCGAAAATAAATAATAATATATGTCTATTCACGTTGCAGACTTCATTTACTTGTTTTACTTAATGCTTTTTCTCTTTCTTCGATTAACCAAAAACGTTGATTCACACATTTATTTACATTCATATACCTTACCACTTCCTTTATTACGACGACGAATCGCATCTAAAATCGTCTACTTAAACTGTATATGTTTTGCTTAGTGAAATAGTGATTTCAGTTAATACATATTATAAATACGTATTTATTTAGAGAGTAAAGATACAAAAATTTTTTAGATATTTGTTTTGAAAAACTAAAAATGCCTGGACTTTTCATGCTAATTCATTCTCCAGCATTATTTCTTCGCGTTGCTATCAACATAGCTACGAGTACTGTTGGAGTTTCGGTGATTGCTTCTACTATTGCAGTGGGTGTTGTCGTATCAAAACTACCAGCTCAATCTGGAGCAAATCCCTTCAGTCAAACTACAATAATAGTTCAATCATCATCAACACTTGCATTTAATCGTATAATTCAATCATATGAACAGCAACATTATTATAATACGACAGCAACACTATTAGACTTGGTGGATGCATTAAATAAATACTTAGGACAACGATTTCCGAATCAATTCATTAAAGCTGTTATTTCGGGATTTTCGTTAAATCCTCAAAATATTACTAGTCGTCGAAGAAGAAGACGACAAATCTGGTGTTGTCCTCACAATGGTCACTCTCACGACGATCACTCTCACGAAGATTGCTGGATATGTACTACGGCATCTACCACCCCGAAGACTACCCAAGAAGCAGCCTCAACAACGTCGATGAATGTAATTGGGTGGACAGGTGACATCGACCCTACAGGTAGCACAGGTACTCCACAACCTACACAATCATCCGCATCAACTTTTACTATCACATCATCAGCAATGTCATACTCTTCTGAACCATCAACTCGAGATTCTTCCACTTCTTCATCGGTATCTCTTACTACTACACAACCAACGACTTCTAACAGCAACAATAACAGCAGTTGTAATATTGCGACGTATGACAACGGCAGTAATCGAACATCAGTTATTTACCTAAATGGTACACTTTATTTCAATACTACAAAAGACAGTACGATTGATCCTAATAAGATTAAGGCTGCATTGGCATTATTCAGTCCAGTTATTGCTTTAGCTGATCAGTGTGTAAATAAAAGTTCCAGCCAAAGTACCTTTAATTCAGCATTGTCCACTGTTGCGGACCCAACTGAAGTAGTCGGTGGTACATCATTTTTAGCTAACGCTAATACCATTCCTACATATTTGATAACTGCAGCGAATAACGTTTCTTCTCCAACCGAGGCACCGAGCTACAATACAACAGTAACGGTTGCACCATCAACATTGACATCTACAACGACAACATCTACAACTACAACCGCCACAGAATCAACTACTCCTCTCGTTGGTTAAGGATAACAATATTTATTTAAAAATATAATTTTTATATGTGCATGAATTATTTAGCCAGTTTTTTTAATTATTTGTTACAAAAAGAATATTAAACACTACATATAAAATAAGGAACACCATAAGATAGAGCATGTTATATCCAGACTTCGTTTTGTTTCAAAGATGATACTTTGAAACATTAACTCTTCAAGGTAAACTGGACAAGTATTCTTTTTGACACAAGAATTCATATTTGAATTTGTACTAGTAATTATTTTGTCTTCAGTCATCGTTGAAGTTTCTATTAATATTAAATTGATATTTTACTAATTTGAGTTGTTTGAAATGAGTTATTTATTGAGTGTGATTGGATAATAAAACGATCATATCTGAGATCATATGATCATAAAGAAGGATAGAAATAATCTAGCATTTTATTACGAGTACTTTTTAAATGCTAAGTCAGCTTGTGGTGAGTAAAATTTCTATATTCTCAGTAAATAGTTTGAGCGCTAAGTAAAGCTATTGAATGTTCACTTAATTTTAATTTTCTCAGGAATCAAAATATTTTTTATTAAGCTAATAAATTAAAACTATAGCTAAAAAATAGATTCAATAAGGAAATAGTTTTATTATTAAGTAATTTAAAACTATTTCAAAGTAAGTTTATAAAACGTAAGATTAAAGTTTATTTGCTAGGAGTACGACGTATATATTTTCTTTTTTTCTCCTCTTACAGTATATTGTACAGATAACGTGTATGAGACACATATATCAACATCGTTTTTTCGCTTCTTTTTTTGGTTTAAAGGTATTTTCCAAATGCTTATTGCTCAGATATTTTTCCGCCTGTTCTACTTTTTCCTACTATCTTTGACTTGTCTTATCGCGCTCGCATATATGTTTTGCCTTTTTGTAAAATAAAACTATTCATTCGTCATTAATTAATCAGATCGATTTCTTGCCCGTTAACAAAAATTTACTTCATGCTGAAGTAAAGGAACAATCAAAGTTTTTCTGATGACGAACAAGCTTAATTAACTACTAAAGAAAACAATTAATGAAGTCGTCATTATTCTAATAAAAGTCATAATAGAATGAAAGTTCATTATCGATGTAGTCAAGTAAAACTTCGTGGCAAACAATTCGGCGTAGCAGTTTACTTGTACTATCCTAATGACTCTGATAAAATAACAATATTTCGCACAACAAATGAACACAATCATAAAAATTTAGAAACACATAAAACTCTTCCTAAAGCAAAAATTGAAGAATTAACTAATTTGAAACTTAAATGAAAAATAATATATGAAATCTGTAGACCACCTTCAACAGCAAAGGATATATCTTCGTGTTAAAAATGGAGACAAGGACGATCACGAACAGCAACAAAATCTTTATTAATACAATAACTGCATGATTAAATGTTTTACTTAAATATTTATGTTTTTTCATGAAGCAAAATTCATATATTTTTCTAGAGATTTACAATATTTCACTTAATTTTTGAATAAATTTACTTAGCAATTCAATAGAAGCCTTTTATTACATTATATCCGATAATATATTCATCAATAATACAAAAACTTCAAAGAAAAAAGTTCAAATTATTTTCGTTGATAATATTTGATAATTCTACTAATACTTCGATTTCATACATGTTGCTAAGGTGTATCAAAGAACAAAATATAATAATCAACCTCAAGAATATTAGCATCAAGTACCTTCTTTTCGGAAGATAAATAACTATCACTATACAATCTATGTTAATAATATAATCAAGAAGAGACACAATATTTTATATTAATTTAAAAAAGAATGGTAAAGTAAGTTTTAATACATGTGCAGGAACATCATTAGTTATAATATCTTGTTTTGAATATTCGTCATTTTAATCAACATCACATTTTAAGATTATTTGTAGTTTATTTTTTAAAAAAATTCAATTTGTTTGATTAAGGAATGTATCGTAAAAGAGTCGTTATCTGTGAAAAAGAGATTTATTGAATACGTTCTTAATTACAATTGCTTTCATCTTTAGTTTCGAGTTTATCTGGATGGCCAATATTTGAGAATGAGGTGGCATGAGATTCGGTAACTACTAGTTTACCACGCCAAATAAATCAATGATTTGTAAATATATTATACTGAAAAATTATTCATAATTTCTGATAAAATATTTAATAAAATAGATATAAATAAGAAAATAAACTACGACATAGGTCAACTATGAGTACATAATTTTATATTTCACCATTAAAAGAAAATGTCTACATATAATAAGAAAAAAACAAGTGAGACGTGTTGTCTTGTTAACTACCGAAACGTTTTTATAAATACGCTTTATATACTGTAATCCAATCGTTATGCTTCACAGACATATCATTTTGATTTATCTTCATCGATTATTTGAAAAACAATATCAGCTCCTATTGATCGAAAATAAATAATAATGTATGTTTATTCACGTTGCAGACTTCATTTACTTGTGTCGCTTTGTGTTTTTTATCTTTCTTCGGTTAATCAAAAACGTTGGTTCGCACATTTATTTACATTCATATACCACACTACTTCATATATTATGGCGACGAATCTTATCTAGACTCATTTACTTAAACTGTATATGTTTTGCTTAGTGCAATAGCGATTTCAGGTAAAGCATAACATAAGTACGTTTTTATCTAGACGGTAAATATACAACATTTTAGTAGACGTTTGTCTTTAAAAATACAAAATGCTTGGAATTTTTATGCTAATTCATTCTCCAGCATTATTTCTTCGCGTTGCTATCAACATAGCTACGAGTACTGTTGGAGTTTCGGTGATTGCTTCTACTATTGCAGTGGGTGTTGTCGTATCAAAACTACCAGCTCAGTCTGGGACAAATCCCTTCAGCCACACTACAATAATAGTTCAATCATCATCAACACTTGCATTTAATCGTAT